ATCGCTCAGTGCCTAAAATACCCCATGGATCAGCTCCAAAAGCTACCCAAACTCAGTAGGAAGTGTTCCCCTGATTTTAATAATGTTTTACTCAAAACAACACTTGCATTTGTATAAAACAAAGTAATCCATCAGCACTTGCCAATTAAAATTAATACATTAAATTCAGACACGTTTAGATCTACAGAAGTTCTTTAAAGGAAAAAAAAAAAAAAAAAGTACTCAATGTGTCAAATGTAAAACCCCCAGAACATCCTGCTTCATAAAGATTGGACTTGTGCTGCAAATCCTTTCTCACAGAGCTTGACAAGGAAAGGCAAGCATGCCAGTTTTGCTGATCTGTACTTCTGCTGAGATAATCCCAGGTGCACTAGGCTGCCCCCAGGACACAGAAAATCAGATGTGAAGAGAAAAAGTAGGCAAGCCATGACCACCTGTTAGGAGGCACACCACATCTGCAGAGAAAACTGTCATTGCTATTTATTTCTTACCACTGCAGCCTAAAGCTGGTAGGCGGTTTGTGCAACAAAGAACTGAATCCTGCAAAACACCAGTAAAACTGAATTCAGCAGGGAACTGGATGGCAAGACACGCAAAGGAGTTTAGAAAAAGAGAATACTATAGTATAAGAGAACTTCTAGGGATAATTCATGAACCAGCTGTCTGAAGAGTCATTCCTTTGGTTCACTTCTCCTTTTAGCATTTGAAAGCAAGATATGGCAATAAGATCATATGGAATATGCATGAGATTAGGTCACTGCTCTGAACAACAAGATGGATGTAAATTCACAGCAACACAGTTGACATCTGCAGACTGACACCAGCTTTACACACAGTTAAACACGTATTTGTTCAGTGGGGCTGTTAAGGAGAGTCAGGGAGCTAATCACGAACAGCTAAGTCATTTTTTATTAACAGCCTTGGTCCAGCCTGTAGGCAAAACTGCATCTATTCTTATACTAGCCACTCTTTTCTAACTTGATGCCTGTCCTTGGTGTAGAGAAGGTCTAGGATATATATTTCAAATCCTGCTCCTTCTTAACAGCTTTCCTCAGGAAGGGGAAACTTTTTTGCTTGCTGCTGCCAACAACCTTCAGCATTCCTCCCTACCTTGGGAGTGTCTGTCTTACAAAACTCTTCTCATATGAAAGAAAAAGTGTTACACCAGCAAGGGACTTTGCAAAGGGCCTGCCTGTTTGCTTTTATTAGGGCCTTTACTAAACAGCTGCTATTAAACAGCCCTCTACTTTTATCAGCATTAATTCACTGAAGCAGATGAAAAAAATGCGTGTTTGGGAAAGCGTTGATTTAGCAAGGGGGACACACAACACAAGTTTAACCTTACTGCAAATCAGAAAATTTTACAGAGCATATATAAATGTGGATCTTTCATGTTTGGCACATCTTTAAAGGTAAATAGTCCTACAGATTTTTTTAAAAACCTGCGTGGTAAATACTCACTTTTCAGCATTTGTAGTTTATTAAAACAGTTTCCTCATCCTTTCACGCAGTACTTAGGTTCCACCTAGTGGCTTTCAACAGCAATAAACAAAAGACTAAATGCTTAAATTTAAAAATCTGTGTGTTTAATTGCAGAAATATTCATAGAGTCTTCTTTAGACATACAATTTACCTCGCCATCTCCCTAAAATTTCTCTTGGTCCTCAGAATTTTCCTCCTACAGTTACTCTAGTTTAAACATCTAAAGCAAAAGGGTATTCACCTAAAGCTTATTCCTGTGCAAACGAGACTGAGAGGATGGGCTGGCTAAGAGCATTAGGAACTTGCAGGCAGGAGCTGTGTGATGCTGCTGTGTCCCTCCCCAGCCAGGTCTCAGCAGGGCATCTGGGTCCCTGGCAGAACTCCACAGGTACAAACCTGTCAGGCCCAGTGAAATGTGTCTCACTTAACTGCTGACATTTTCAACACCATCTCCCTTCACAGACAACTGAGAAACAAGGACTTCTAAACCATGGTTCAGATGACTTGTTTTAGAGATTTACTTACAGGTGAGATTAATTGCATCCTAGAAAGTGTCTCATTTCCATTAGAAAGAGAAGCTAGAGGGCTTCCTGGTAGCCTGGTACCTCCAACACACATCTTGAATCCCTAAGACTCTGTCTGCTACACAGAATTTGAAGTGTAGCCCACCTTGCAGTGAGCTCTAAGCAGGCAATCAAAGGAATCTGGAAAGAGGGCAACCACAGCTGTTACAGACTCTGCACCTACGTTAAAAACCAGTCGTGACAGGTACATACACATATATATATATATATATATATATATATATATATACACACACCATCACAGAAAACTGGATTTCAATACCGTTTTGTTTACAGAATATCTCTCACCCTGATGCTCAGCTCTGTTAGACCGATGAAGGTAGTTTTGTCTTGTAGCAGGAGAAGTGTAAGACAGTTCTGCTCCTACCTCCTCTGAGGTTATAAAACAAGCTATGCTTATATTTCAGTTCCGTGAAGCATTAGCAGAACACTCACCACAGACATTTTAGTCCTCTTTGGAAGAGCTTTACCAACTCTAAAGAGTCACTATCTTCAAAGGGAAGAAGAAAAAAGCAACCATCAAAGAAACGTGTAACTTCACAAATTTATCAGCTGCCACATTAGAGGTCAAAAGCAGATATTTTAAAGTAATTTTAGTGTCTTGCATAAACAGTGAGACAGAGTTCACCAAAACTAATCTAGCTTGTCCAGAAAGATCATATCCATTTAAAGAGAAGGTGAAATTAAAAAAAAAAAAAAAAAGGAAGTTGACCTAGTTCATGATTTGTGGAGTGTGGGATGGATGAAAGGTCTTTAACTCCTTAATGCAGCTTTTTCTGTCTATTCTTATTTCAAGGAGCTTTACTTGTGGTCACAGGCAGTTCCAGGCTGGCACCCAGCAAATCATGTCTGCTCTTCCAGAATGGGACTCCAGCAGGCAGCAGAACTGCTCAGATTTATTACTCTGTAGTGGTGGCTCTCGATTTTCTGTCCACCTCTTTCCTTTTCACCTTCACCTCAACTTTTGCGGAGGAGGGCTGCATGTGACAGACTTGCTCTTTTATGCAAAAGAGGAAATCTTCAATGGTTTCAAGCTTCATTGCTCTATAAAAATGAGAAACTAAGGCTACACAATGCCTGTCTTGGCATTGGGTTCATACCCTAGTCAACCTAGACCTGTGGTTTATTTGCAAGACCATTAAACCCATTTTTCTGTAACAGTTATTTCATAAATCCTGTGAAGGCTTACAACATCAAGTTGATTCAACACCAAGATGATTATCTCCGCTTAAACTGTCTTTTTTTTCCCCACTTTACACAAAACCATATGCCACACAGACTTACCTCTCAAAATCTTGAATCAGCTCCCACCACGGGGAGCAACTGCTCCCTCCTCCACAGCAGGGAGGACGCTGCTAGACAGCCTGCTGATACTGAAAGAAAAAGGGTTCAGAGTTCCGAAGATTCCAAACCAAGCAACTGTGTAGGTATGTGTCATTATGGAGGAGAATTCAACCTTGGTAACACGGTAACCTTGGAACATACCTAATCTCTAACAAAAGCAGCACAGAAACTCCCAGGGTAAGAAAAGCTGTGAAACTCTGCCTTGCAGTTTCATGCGCACGATTTTAGAATAAAGTCAGGATGCGAGTGTATCCTGTAGTAACCTCAGGTAACGCTAACACTGAAACACGCGCCCACGTGTGAACAACGAGCGTGTAATTCGGGGACCTCCCCACGTTTTATACATGAGATAAAGCGCACGTGCGTGATGGGGGGGGGGTGAGAGGTGCAGAAGGGAGTTTGAGAACGCCCATCACCTGCGTGTTGTTACCACAGAAGAGGAAGGCGTGGTGGGGCCGGGGGTGCTGGGGCCCCTGCTCTGCAGGTGAGATGTAAACCCCCACGCCTGGCCCTG